TTGTCCTTACAATTTCATTAGCAATCTTGCCTTTTGTCTATTTAATTTAGTATTACAATATTTCATATTTTATTTTCCAGAAACTGATCTTCCAATTATTTCATGTAATGCAAATTCCGCATATTAATTACCAAAGAAAAAACAAAGAACATCAGTCTTAAGGATTGAAATTGATTACCTTATGAATTTATCTTTAGTAGTTAATTTATCCCTCTTAGTAGTAATATTTAAATGACATTAACAACGGCTATAATATTTCTTACCTATCAACAAATACGCATATTAAATACCAATTCAAATGAAGGAAAATCAATGAACACAATAATTAGAAAGTGAGAATCTGTTAATCCAGCTATCTTTCCCGTATTTATAAATAAATTAAATTTTCCCGCATTTTTCATATCACTCTTTGACCGAAAAGATTCTCTAAGAATGTTGCTGAAAATAAATATAATGTGTGTATTTATTTGCCTTTGCGGGTCGAAGGCTCATCAAATGATTATATGATATATACAAAGTGTTAGACAATAATTAGTTGAAAATTTAAGGGGTGGTTTTACAAACTAAAATGAGACGAAAATCAAGAATAAAAAAATAAAAAAAGCAATAAAAAAATTGCCTTTGAGGCTTCATTTTTTAGTTATTAACATTTTAAAATAATCCTGTAACCGAGCAAACCTCCATGCACCAACGAATATAGACACGTCACGACACGGAGGGTACTGTAATTCTCAAAACCAAAGACACTACCGACTTCTGCGGCACTACCGTTTGTTTCATTACGACACAGGTGCATACCGGAAAGTTCTTCAAATGTATATTCCATTGTATATTGCAAACACAACGTACACTATGCACATAACATACACAAATCACTGAAAAATAATCACTATTCGCTACAATATTCACACACATCTGTGCATGCATGAAATAAAAACTAAGAAAAAACAAAGAAAGCTAACATGGCTCTAGAAAAATAAATTAAACCTATATTAAGACTACACTAATGTGTAATAAATTTAATTTAATTGATTATATTGAACTAAAACTACTTAACTTATTATTTTATGACTATAAAGTAATATATGACTAAACAAAAGAGATTAAAATAACTACTATGTCCATTTATGGTATCGAGTAGCTCTTCGAAAGTTTTGCTGTCGTTGTTAAAATGATCCTGTCCTTTGTTGGTTTTGAGGATTACTGTACCTCCTGTGTCTTAAAATGCCCTGCATTCATTGGTGTAGAAAGGTTTGCTCGAGCACAGGGATATTATTAAATGTTAATAACTAACAAACGAAACCTCAAACGTAATTTTATTATTCTTGATTTTCGTCTTATTCTAACTTATAGAATCATCCTTTAAATTTTCTTCCAATTATTGGCGAACACCCCTTATATAGTGTATCCTATCAACTCTAGCCACTTCAAAAATCTCCATTATTTGAAGTATAATAATGAATAACGTTATTTGCAAAAGTTGTATAGTTGCACGAAAGACATAATGTGATGACAATAATTTCTTTACAGGTGGATGTGTACTGGAGATCAAGTTTTTTTTTTTTAAGTGGAATACCCAATTTTTTGTGGTCGAATTCGATAGAATAGCGAGTTCTGAGTATAAAAGTACTAAGGTACATTTATCCTAAAATTCACTGCTCCTGAGATATTCAATTGTTCATCCTATTAATTTTATTAAGAAACATGTTCGAAGCTGAGATCATTGTCAGTACTTCGGATGTAAACAAACAGTAAATAGTAAATATCGTGAAATTACGTTATTGAACATTAAACATCTCTGAGATTAATAAGTTTTCCATTTAACGTTCATAAGGTTGTCAATATGAAATTTTCATTCGAAGAACAAGTGGATATGCTTCTTATTTATGAAAAAAGTAGTTAAAATTCTATTAGGACACAAGCTTTCTATATTGAAAGATATCCTAACCGCACATATCCTTTACACCGGATGTTCCAAAGATTACGTCAAAAATGGAGAAAAACCGAAAATCTTGGTGCTCTTAAGAGTGGCCATAAAACTCTATAATTAGTGATGCCAATGAAATTAATGTTCTTACAATGGTAAATCATAATCCTCAAATTAGTGTTTGATAATGAGAAGTGTTCTTGATGAAATTTTTGCAAACTGATGGATAGGATGCGGAGGCACAGTTTCCTGACCAGCTTGATCCCCAAAGTTAATACTCTTAGATTTTTTCTCTTGTATCAAGTTTTTCTGTGTATCGAAAAACACCAATTGCACCACAAAATATAATAGAATTGATTACTGCAGCGTATGCAGGGATAACATATGCAAGGGGTTCCACAGAATACAGATTATAACGTTGTATCGATACACGTTACATGTTTCATGATAGGATAAATAAAATCAAATATCTCAGGAGCAGTAAGTTTTAGGATAAATGTACCTTAGTACTTTTATACGTACTCATAATTCGTTATTCTATCGAGTTTGACCATAAAAAATTGGACGTTCCACTTAGAAAAACAAAATTGTAAAAAAACTATTACCACCGCGTTATGTTTTTCCTGCAACCATACAACTTTTGTAAATAATGTTTTTGCTTATTATTTTAAATGGTGGAGATATTTGAGGTTTGTCAGAGTTGATCTTGAATACATCTTGTACACACAATATGCACATGTATAATTGTGTGTATAAAAATGAACACATATACTTTTAATAACGATGCGCTGGCTTGGTTTGTATGGTAAAGCCGCAACATAAAATAATCGTGAAAACGAATAATGCGCGGATAACTATGACAATTTTATTGACATACAAATGTTACAAAAGAAAATGGATTTACCGACTATGTAAATGTTTCATTAAATATGACTGTTATATTACATGTGTTGTTACTTCTACGAAATGACATTGATATAATGCTTATACTGTATTTATGGTTCCACCTTTCACAGAGTTAATAAAATCTGCAAAGATTCAAACATGCATTTTTTTTTATTTTTGACAGATTTAATTAATACTTAATTTAATAACAGAAATTACAGAATCACTTAATTCTATCAAGATAGATTTAAATATTAAATTTGAAATACCAATTTTTTGCAATTAATTCTAGTTTAGTATAACGATTGTTACTTTAAAAAATACATCTAATTTGTGTACTTCGATGGTAACACAGGCTTGTTGCACGCCGCGTGTGACACGTAAAGTGCAAGACAGTCGTACAACAGTTCTTATATCGAATACAGGGTGTCGCAGCTAACAGCCAAACACGTAAACCAGTGCTGTTCAGTTATCGCCCGTACGGGCAGCGTATTAAGTTTTATCGGGCATGAAGAAATCAGCGGATAACAAGCCGCGCCTTCTCGGGCAACTGTGCGTGTAAGTACTGTTTGCAGCTGGTAAGTTGGCAGATAGAAGGAATGCAGATCTCACTGGTTGTAGCGATACTCTCATAAAGTCAGATCACGCGCATTTGTATTATTGGCCGAAACGGTCACATCTACTAATCCATCGTGTGACGGTTAGCATGAAAGGTGAAGCGAGCGGCTTACTCTCCTTGCCCCTGTGCCGTCCTGACAGCTAACTTACCAGCTCAGCACAGTAATAAAGTTTGGAAATAATATTTTACCACCGGTTATTCCATTCCAATTTCGATTTTGATTAAACTGTAATATGTCGTAGTCTATTTTTTTTGCATTCACATTTTTAACTAAACATAGATGTATAAACTAATTTATATTTCGAGAGTAAAGCGGGATTGAACCGTGACCGGAACGGAAGTAGACCGCTAGTGTGTATTTAGCCTTAGTGAGCATCAGAGGTGTGATACGGTCACAGCCAAGGACCTTTTTGTTATATAGGCGGGAGATCGTTGTCCAGTAAGTACGTTATTTCGATTTGTGAGAGTGGTGAGATTGAGAATTTTCCAAGAGTCAGGTTCAATTCCTGGCAAGTGGTGGCCATTCGCCTCACTGTGGCGACGTGGTCTAGTACCCCATAACGGGACAAGCTAAGATTTAACGCGGCGTCTCGATCTGAATACCGCCAAGATGTTAAAAGAGGTGTCTTTAATGTCTAATAGCAAATCCAAGAACAAAATTCCGCGCAGCTAGAGGTAGTTAAGTCTGTGTCTGAATCCTTAAGCCAGTGATCCGTGAAAGTGAGTCCGACGTACCAAATTTACGTACCCAACATCTACGAGAATAGGTTAACGTCTGGGTACCGCACGAATTGGCTATAGGCCCGATAACTCGAATTGATACAGTCTTTATCTTTATAGTGGATAACGGTGCGATCATGGGGGGAAGATAACAAGGATGCTTCATCGTGTACCTGAGAAAAGAACTCACAATCAACAAGGGCTTCTGGCCTCACAAGGTCGAAAGCATGAATTGTGCCACCAATGGTAAGGGGGAAAAGAGTGGTTTTGCGGTTTGTAATTTGCAAGTTCACCAGAAGATGTAGTTAGTAGAGTAACTCATCGGTCCAATGTAAGATACTTACTGGAATAGTACACAGTTTACATTTGCAGCGTTCTTATCAGAAAGCTTCAACAGCCACAGTCCAAACTATCGTATGATGAAAGAGGGGCGAGGTGTACCAACCTCGTTGGAGGTCAGTCGCTTCAGTTTCACGTCTGAGGAAAGCAGGATGCGATAGAAAGCCCGTCTCCTGTAGCCGATAACGGACCCGATGGCCAGAAGATAGTAATGATGCAACACAAGCACCATAATTTAACACGCACTGTGGTTTTGTACACGTCCGCACTTTATGACGATTAGTTTGGTACGCAGTTGTAGAATAAAAAGTGACTGGTTGTGAAAGATTGAATTTCGCTAAAAAAGGTCGTTCTCTTGTATCCATTTGCGAACCTTCATCAGCCTAATCAGCGGCGAGGCAAGAGTTTCATGACTGAATATATCTACCCCGCTTGTTGCACGCGTATTTACATATTTATAAAATATACAAAAATAAGGGTACGCCACAAAGTTATAAATACATAATAAACAAGCAAGAAGTGAAAAATAAAAGTACTATTCAATAACAAAATAAGCTAGTCAGTTTACAATAATCACAATTTAGAAGATTTAATATTCTGTACAATATAAATTTTATCACTGATTGTAAAACTTCGTGATTCGCATATGAAAAGTACAATTTCTTGCAAATCATTAATGGACAATAATTATATTATAGAAGAAGATACGAATTCAGCAGATACTGTATTTTTATTATTCATAGCAAAAATATCTCAAATTTTGAATAAATTATTGTGTTATATTGTTATATTGTAAATATAAAATTAATTTAAAAAAAGAAAAAATTTCTAATTCCTTTGAAAGCAAATCATAAATTCTTTTTTTAACAGTATACATAATTCAATTATTTAGTTAATAGAATGTCTTTCAAGATAATAGAAAACTAAATATAAAAAATATTGTAGTTAACATTTTATTAATAAAAGTAAAAATAATTGAAAGTTTATTGAATTGCAAGTAATATATATGTTTCTATGTATTATAAAAAACTTTACTTCAAGCTTTTTGAAAATGAAAAATAATTTTTCCCAATTATAAAGTTTATAATTTTTCTAAATTTTACAAATTAAACAATTTATAATTCTACTAAATTACAAACAATGGAATATTCTGAAGATCTACTTATCACAAAATAAACTGCAATAATTTATAACTGTATATGTCATACACTATTATTAGAATATTGCATCATAGTACGATACTTAACATGATTCATTAAGTTAGTATGAAATATAGATGAATATAACAAATACAGAAAAAAGCAATAAAACATACTTCAATTTAAACGACGAAAAATATTTTTAATTACATTAATTGTTGACAAATTACATAAAATAATTATAACAAAAATATCTCTTCTGTATTATAAGAAAAATTTCCTATTTCTTTACTACAAATAATTTTAATTGCAACATTGATCCTTTCCAATTACTATATTAAGATTAACACAAATTTTTTTACCTAATATTATTTAGTATTTGACAAATAAAAGCAACTATTTAATTTGTTTTCCTTAGTCATAATCGCAGTTAAGAAATAATGAAAGTTAAAATTTATTTTTACTATTCCATGATAGGTTTTACTTTTTTAATGTTTCACTTTTATATCTTTCATTTTATATATTTGACAGTTTAATACTAACATTACAAAATAACTATTTTTAATTTATTATTAAATTAATTGCAATATAATGTATCACTTAAAAAAATTATATACTACAATAAAATAAAAATAACGTAATAAATACAGCCATGTACAAAGATTACATATAAAATATATTTTTTATAGTATTATATAACTTTTATTTCAAATCATTTTGTCTCAGTTATTAATAAAACAAAAATAATTATGAATCATATTAATATCTTTATATATCACAAGATATTTATAACTAATATCGAAAAAATGTTTTGAAACATTATATTGCTTGAATTTAATGTAAAAGTTAAAATAACTGAAAAATACAGAAATTCATATTTTATTTGTAAGTGGAAGTAATATACAACAATTAATTCTGAAAACAATTTTATTTCATAGAAATCCCAATTACTGTGACCGTTGCAACTACATCCTTCAACATTAGTGTTACATCAGAATAAGATGAAATTATCTAAAGGTATTATATATTCTTACAGTTAACACTAATCAATTGATTAACACTTTGATATCCTGTGCTTAGAAAATAAATGGTGTATACATATAAAAACCAATAATGCTCTAGATAATATGAGCATTATTTTGGTGGACCTAAGTATAAAAGCACATTAGAAAAGTTAAAATATTGTAACGTCACAGATAAATGCATTATACAGCAACCACGTAACACTCACTAATCATGGACCTTAGAAATGTAGATATTTATTAATTTTATTCTTATTAGATGCTAAAACATGATTAGTACATACAGAAAAATTATTTTACGAAACGCATATATATATATGCGTATATATATATATGTCTCACTGTGCTATATCATTTAATACCATTAAGGGAGCAATATTCCATGGAAGAATGAGAATCTATAACTTTTGTTTTGTATTCCACTTTAATATAGGGGAAGTGTGTTGCATATTGCAGGTAATAATGAATATAATATTTAACAATTTTTGATAAAAGAAAAAATAGTGTAAATAAACTCTATTTTATAGTGTATTCCAATTTTGATTATTTGTGATAAACAATACAATGCAGATGATTTGTCTCCAATTTGAAATACAGTCGACTCCCTCTTATCCGGCCAATAGTTTCCGTAGAAATAGATTGTGATTTTTCTATAGCAGTAATGGACAATCAACAACCGTTGTACATCAAACTCATCGTCAGCCATATCGAAGATCATTATTGATTTCTTTGTATAAATAAATGTTCAATAAACATTATTTCTTTGTTTTTAAATGATATTAATATTATATTTAGATTTTGTGTAAATAATAAATACTATATGCATATATATATATGCATTTTTTTTGTTGCTTACAACTGAAAGTGATATCGTCGGATTAACTGGCTACTCGTTTATCCGGCCAGATGTCCGGTCCCATACAGGCCGATTAAGAGGAAGTCAACTGTATTTTGAAAGTTATACATTTCTTTTAATAGAAAATTAAATCCGCAATATTAAAGTAAAATGGTGATGATTAGAATGAATGAGTTGTACAATAAAGACAGCAACAGTTGTATGCAACAGCTAAATAAAAATGCAGTCATTAGAGTATCTAGTTGAACGTATTTAGTTCTCCACAGTCAGCTATTACAATCTTTTTGGAAGTCTTTCCACTTTGGGATCCCATACTTTCCAACTAAAACAAGAAAAATAAATTTCAAATTTCTATATCAAAAATAAAATATATATACTGTATGAGATTAACATTCAATTACTTTAAAACTATGAAGCACAATTAATTAAAAAACTATTTTAGACTTCATTGGATTACAACATAGTGAAAGCATAAGGACCAAATAGTTAAAACAAATATTTCTTAAAAAAAAATGTTAGAAGTAATTACAAAGCTATTAGGAAACATATATATCGAAACATTCTTCTTAATTCAAATTTCCTTATTACAATATATACTTGAGTAAAATTGTGAAACCTTAATAAAAGTAAATAAAGTAAAAAAAGTGATTACATACTTTCCTAACAACGTCCATTCCACCAACAACTTTTCCAAATACAACATGTTTGCCATCAAGCCAGCCTGTTTTAGCACTGGTAATAAAGAACTGGCTGCCATTAGTATCAGGACCAGCATTTGCCATAGAAAGAATACCAGGTTCAGTATGCTTCAAAAAGAAGTTCTCATCATTAAATTTTGTTCCATAAATGGATTTTCCCCCAGTGCCATTATGGTTAGTGAAATCACCTCCTTGGCACATGAAATTTGGAATCACTCTATGAAAACTGCTTCCTTTATAACCAAAGCCCATCTCACCAGTACAAAGAGCTCGGAAATTCTCTGCAGTTTTTGGGACAACATCGCTTCTTAGCTGAAAATTTAATCAAAACACTGCTTCTAAAAAATTATAAACAAAATATTTCAAATAATTAACATTTTGTGTACAAAGAATTTCACTGATTTTTGTACATGAATATTAATTTTTTAATTTAAATAAAACAACTAATTCTAATTGTAATTCCTAATAGTGAACAAAACATTGCATAATTTAACAGGACTTACTAATATAAACTAAAAATCAATTTTTTGAGATATACTGTATGCATTTGATTTATGCACTGAAGTGAAAAAATTTGCTATTTATATAACATATATGTGATATTAACAACTAAATTTATAATATACAAGAACTAATCTCTGCATACAAATGTAAGTGAGCTTGTATTCCCACTCCATCTTATCTATGACCTATTCACAACTTGTTCCTGTTTCTTTCATTTTTTCCAAATTTAATTATAAGGAATACGTAATCGTAATATTTTTAATTCCTATAATAATTAGAATTATGATAAAAATTGTAAGAACACGTTTCACTATTGCATCTTAAAATTTCACCTGTGCAAAATACATATTTGAATATGTCAGCGATAATAACTGAATGGAAAATTTTACGATTCAGTGCAGATGAAAGAATTCGTAATGTAATATGATTATGCCGACCTTCACTATGCTTTGCTACATTAAACGTAGGAAAGATTTTATTTTATTCATTTTAAATAATAATTTGAAATGAAAAAATCTGAATAATAACGGTTTTGAACGAAATTCTAATCGAAAATCGGCTCGCATAACCGGCTTTGAAGAAAATCCAAGATGGCCAATCATTCTAGAATTCTAACGACAACGTGTTTAAGAAGTGGAAAACATATTAATTATAAACAATTTTTACTTACTTCCATCACAATGCGTCCCACGGGCTTATTGTCCGCATTCATTTCGAAGTAAACAAGTGGCAATTCCTTTTCGACGTACATTTTCTTAGCCGTAACAGCAAAAGTTCGTGCGCAGAATGCAGAAGACGATCGTCTCGGCCGGACGGTGGCACCCAAATGGCTCAAATGGCTGAAGGTCGAATCAATTGACAGCCGGCAGATCGATCTCAACGCCATGTTCTAAGCTTGTTACTTCTAAAATCGGTTTTAAACAGCTTAATCTCTTATTATTATCCCTTAATATAGTCTGTATCACGCTTCAAAGATAATCGACTATTATTTCATGAAATTATCATGTAATAAAACAATGATTTTCGCTTCAGTATCGATAATTATTGAACGCCAGGCGTGCTTCCTACTATTAACCAATCCGATGCAACATTCGCCACCTGCATACGAAATAACCAATAGCATGCTGTGCTTTTAATACACAAACGGAAAGACTTCGCAGTGTTCTATTAATTCGTAGTTTCAGGAAAAAATAATAAAAATAAAATTTCAAAAGAAAACAAAATGTGAAAATAGTATTACATTTACAAATTTATTTTTGATAACAATGATTTTTTATTTATAATTAAATTC